ATTGGTCACGTCTGTTACTTTTCTGTTTCTTTTATGCTCTTCACCAAATGATCGGCTTGTTAGCCGTTTGGGCGATCGGTCACGTCTCTGTTACACACTGTTGGTAAGTACTGGGCTGTTGGTAAGTACTGGGCATGCACCGGCTCCTGAATGAACCTGAACCTGTTCCAGTGTTGGTCAAGTCTGACCTTGAAAGAGCTCACAATCGGTGCCGTCACAACACTTTCTGGTAGAGTGTTCCAAGAGTTCACAACTCTCACTCCGAAAAAGTTTGCCCTCACAGTTTTCTGGACATATGTGTCTTTTTCAATCTTGAGCTGTGACCCCTTGTGGGGCAAGCATCTGCCAGCTCCAAGTAAGGACACTCAACTGAGTAGTACCCCTTGAGATGCTTATACACCTCAATTAGGTCGCCCCTTGCCTGTCTGTAGTATAAGCTAGGCAAGTTCAGGCGCTCCAATCTCTCAGGGTAGTTGAGGTGCTGAAGTGCAAGCACCAGTCTGGTGGCCCTCCTTTGAACATTGTCAACCAACTGATAGTCCCTAGCATATCTCGGGGACCAGACGGGGTGACAGTACTCCAGATGGGGAAGCACTTCACTCTTGAAGATCGTTATGAGGGATGGACCGTCTAGATATCTGAACGACCTTCTTATAAGACCCAATAATTTATTTGCCTGATTTACCTTCTTCTCGCAATGGCCCAAAAACTTCAGCTTATTGTCAACATACACACCCAGGTCCTTCTCACATTCAGTCTCAAATAGTGCAGTTTCTTCATCCCATTGAGACATATGATACGCCTCCTTACCGTTGGTACGGCCCAGGGGCATCCTCTTACGCTTCGTGACCTTGAATCTCAGCAGCCATTTCTTCGACCATTCTTGGAGCTCACAAAGATCCTTCTGCAGCTCTTCATAGTCCACTTGGTTCTTGATTTCCCGAAATAACTTGGCGTCATCGGCAAACATTTGTATGGAGGAGTGTACACCGTCAGGCATGTCATTTATGAAACAAACAAACAACAGTGGGCCCAATACACTGCCCTGTGGTACCCCGCTTGTGACAGGTACGGATGATGATTTTGTGCCACCATACACTGCTTGCGGTCTTGTAGAAAGTCTTCTATCCACTCTAGGACATTTCCCCAAATTCCGTACCCTTCCAGTTTGATTTTCAGGTAAAAGAAATAATTGTCCTAAGGGCAAACATGTAAAGGGAATATACATTTCATTTCTTTGCACACGAGTGAAAAGGCACCCCATCCCCCGGTCAACAAATGATATTCGCGGTTATGGTAATTCACGGCCATTTTTAGACCCAAAGCCCCCTGCGAATTTTAAGGGCATGCTGTAATACAATATCTTAAATGTAGTTGGAAAGAGGAGGGTAATATTCTCATTCAAAAATATACATCCAAATGGATTAAATATAATAAAGGGGCTTGGAGTGAATGCAATAATGGTAGAGATGGTAAAAAATGGGAATGATATAATAAAATATTAGGGCTACAAAATGTGTGTGCTTTTTGAAATTGAGAGAGAAGTTGCCGAGTAAAAAAGTGCCATATGGTAAAGGTAGTTAGGATGATTGCTTCATGAGCATTTTAGGAACAGTGTGAACAAAAATTGAGAGGGTAAACAGTCTTAAGAAATATGAGAAACAGAGAGGTGTTATAGAAAGTCTATGTGGATATCAGTGATAAGGAAAGGGACTAAACCTTTGCTTAGGGAACAGAACCTCTGTATCCTAGATGTGTGGATGGATAGACATGCAGGAAGTATAGTATCAATGTGTAAAAATGACTGGAGAGCACAGAGTTCAGTGAGTTTTGTGGAGGGACCTGCTGCTGATAGGTGATGTTAGGTTGTGCAAAGCAGCATGAGAAAACCAATATACTGTAAATAATTGGGACGGAGGCAGGAACCAAGCTGTAGTTAGATAGAAAGATGTACAGTAGTTATCACTGACCAACCATTGCATTAAACCTGTTTTGTTGGCTGACCAAAACCAGATGAGTGAAGAAGTGTTAGAGGAGGTTAGGGAAATTCAAATACTTGAGATCAATGTTTTGTAAACATGGCAGTGAGTAATGCAAGGGAGGAAGAGGATTGGTTCATTTGAGAGTGTAATGAAAGGGAAAATTGTAACAGACACCAAAGTTTCTGACATTCAGTAACAGGAGCAAATCATTGGCTTACACGTAAAATGAAGCAGACAGGTCTGGGAATCAGGTTGTTGGAATGAGTTATTTAAGGACTGCATGATCTTACTAGAGGGTGGGGTGTGATTCTAATCGATGGTAGGAATGTCCTGAGACGTGTGAAAGAGAAAGAACCCAGAGATAATGGATGGAGGCTCATTGCTTGTGTAGGAGGAAAACTGGTGGTTTGGACAAGTACTGTAGTGGTGATAGTGAAAATTTTTAATGGTTAGTGTACAGTTAAAAGGGACAAGAGTAGTGGGAACCCAAACACAACTGCCTGGAAGAGTAGAGTGGTGGAGTACATAAGGGAAGGTTACATCTTTCCTGATAATCATATTTTAGTCAGTCTGGTAGTTTGGCATTTTAAAGAAATTACATTATTTCAATTGGTTATTGAGTTTTTCTCCACATTTTCCATTCACTTCAAACTTCATATAGTGGACTAGGTTTATACACATTGTAATTCCTTGTTATGTTCCCCCTTTGCTTTGCCTATCTGAAGTGTTAACCAGAGAAAGATAAATGGGAATGCAGTTATGTTTGATCTTTGCCATGCTTGTGATGTGTATGGGGGGAAAACTTCATAGTGTACATGGGAATTTTTCTTAACTTGTAGACTTTCTTGGGAGCATTCTGAACTTGCCCTGATGTTAATAGAATTACCCATGTAACTTAGATCACTAAATAATACTGTGCTAGCTTAACACAAGGACCAATTACTGTTCTTCCATGGCAGAGTTATAATGATCTAAACTTTCAGTCCACACATCACAAGGATGACCCCATGGCTAGGCAGGGTTGCTGGCTCAGTGAGTGAGCTGTGGTGTACACCAAGTCATTCACTGGTCTCTCAAGGCTCTAAAAGCTGAATCTACTTAACCTGAGAACTGGAGGAAACAGTTTAATCTTACTTGGCACTTGGTTGCTTTTATATTATCACTTGGATTGCAATTGCTAAGTGAATATAGCACCTCCATCCTATTGTAAGGGTTCTTAGTTTATGCCCAGGGTTCCCTCAGTCCATCCAGCTATTAATAGGTGCCTAACTTTACAACTGGAAAGTGAAAATAGTCAAATGCAGTGCTGGCCACACAGCCTCCTTGTAGACTGAAAAACAAAGGCTTATTGTATAGTCTGCTGTATGCACACTGGGTCATCAGACCTACAGGATACACGTTCACTCTTCATAACCTGTATTATCACTTAGATTCATTTTTCATTTTGTTTTAAGGAAAAAATTCAAGCACTAAAGGAATGAGCCTGTTTCTGAAGTCTAAATATGAAGATGAACATTATCTGTAGTGTTGTGTAGTAGTACCGGTTGCACACTAATAGCAGACAAACTGATGCTTTTAAATTATTCGATAGTGTTTTTAATTTTTTTAAGGTCATTCAAGGAACTGTTTGCTAGTTATTCTATAGATAGATATTCATTCTTTTTCATTCATGCAGTAAAATCATAATACAAATTTACACTTTGTTCAGCATGAATGTCGACAATGTAGGTATACAGCAGTTGACATAAAAGTGTAGGTACCCTGTACTAAGTAGAGAGAGTAAGGCAGGTATACAAACAATGGTAAGAGAGCAGGGCAGGTATACAAAAAATGGTAAACAGTATGGCAATTCAATCAATAAAAGTGAAATTTTGATGATGAATATAACGCATTATATTACATTGTTGGCATGCCAGAATTATATAGGAACATCACAAGTATATTTTTTAACCTCAGTGTGTGTGTGTGTACACCCATTCATATACATGCTCATCTGCACATGTCTATACATACAGTACATGTATATACCAGTTTCTACTTGGGAATATAATATATATGGTACTTGTACAGTCCAGCATATGGATATTAATTTGGGTTGACAATTATGACTTCAGTGCTTTGTAACCTTTATTTTAAACATTATGAGGTCCTCAATACACACACTTGTATTTATCTTATGTTTATTAATTTAAATGAAGGAGTAAGATTTTAAATTTGCAGTATTTAATGAACTCCCAAAATAACCTAGGGTACAGAAGGCTGTGTACAATGAAGAAATTGTGAAATTCCCACAAATTATATACTGTGTATATATATATATATATATATATATATATATATATATATATATATATATATATATATATATATATATATATATATATATATATATATATATATATATATATATATACTAGTGATCTTTTTTTTTTTTCATTGGCAGAGAAATAGTCTTTTGTTTATCAGTATTCTCATAACCGAGATAGTAATATACAGTACTTAGTTTAACCTTTGCGTATATTAGTTCTGTATGGCCTAGTTAGAGCCTGTATACCACGTTATGAGTTATTGAATAACAGCAAAATCTGAGTCGTATTGGATGTGATGTGATCCAGTCTTTATAGAGGTATTAGCTGCCAGTAATTAGCAATTACTTTTTAGTTTTTATAAATTTATACTAATAAGTTATGTAATGCCGCACATAAATATTGAACAAGCATAATTTGCCTCTTTAACATAAAAATCATGTGATGGAATATTTACAAGTATCTTGTATTAATATGCTCACCCCATAAAAAAAAATGTATATATATATATATATATATATATATATATATATATATATATATATATATATATATATATATATATATATATATATATATATATATATATATATATATATATATATATATGCAAATCTATTGTGTAGAAGAGGAAGACTTATGCGTGTTTTTTTATTTTTTTTTATTAAAGATTAGCAGTCTTATTTCATGCTTCCAACTTGTTTATTTACAGCAAGCCTACCATGCAACAGCCGTGATCCGCCAAATGAGGAAAATGGCACTAAGCACTCAGCGTGAGAAGAAAGAGAGCGAGTCCAGCGACACTAATGCCAACACCACAAAAGCACCAAGAGAAAATGCCCACTAGTTATTCCTCAGCTCACTGCTTTGATTTTTTTAAGAAATGTGATGTGGTTAGGCTGTCTTCAGTTCTTGTTTGCATTTCCAAAGACTGTATCTTGCAGTTTCAAAGCTAAAGTTAGTCTTACATAAATGCTAACTGAATTTCAGAAGAGTCTACCAAGTTGATAACTTTGGTTCTTCTGGTTTCTTGGTTCTCATCCAGGCTTTGACTGTGGCTCAACAAGTAGCCTGTACAGAAGGCTTTGGTGTCTTCTACTTACTTGTGATTGATTCTAGAGTCTAATAGTTATTTTTGTATAATAATTGCAGATATTTTTCACTTGCAGTCTTTAGTAGTATCCCAATTTATAAGCAAAACTTTGAATGTGGTATAGGAGTGATACCATAATAGAAACACTCAAATTTAATATTGCAACTAGAATTACACCCAGCCAATTAACATGTTACTGACATCTTGAAAACGAGTCAAGGTGCAGATTTTTACTCCTAACATGTCACTTTACTTGAAGCTCATTGAGGATGTGACTGCAGTATTCCTCATGGTTAATATTTGACACTAAATTATTGTGCTGGTGTTTGATGCATCATATATATTAAACCAGAGTTATCCCATATTCTAAATTTCTGAAGCAAAAATTAATTTTTTTTTTCATTACATTATTAAGCTCAACGGCATCCACTTTGTCAGCTGGTGAGCTCTTGCCAGGAGGGTTCTGTGTATGTTGGGAAGAAGAGTATGGACTGTTGTTATTTTAGCTTAGCAAACGTTACTTTCTTTCATAAACACTTCTGAATTTTATGGTATTGGAAAATCACTTCTCTCCATCTAAGGACCTATTGTCTTTCATGTATCACGATATTTTAAAATGTTCAGAATGGCAACTGCATAAATTCCCTAGAATATGTATATTTAGCATGGACATTTATTCACATGGGCAGTGAAGCTCTCTGTTAATCAAATTTTGTATTTGTGCTCTTGCCTCTTAGACCTATGAAGTGATCATAACCAAGTCTGGCTGGGGCTTGGAAGTCTCTGGGCAAGCATGTGTTTTTGATCTACGCAACAATTTGTAAATTTCTAAGTGCAATTTTTTAGCAGTAATTTTTTTTTCTTTGCAAAAAGTTGACTATTCTTGATGTTTTGTAGTAGTCCTTGTCCCTGAAGTTGAGGTCTCTTGTGGGGTTCAGTAAATTTTCTTGATGGTTTACTCCCAGAATTTGTTAAAATGTAAGCAAGAAAATATGAACCTAAGGGTGTTAAGCATCATGTTCAAGTCTTTATTAAACTTCAGGAAGGACTTCACAGTCAGGGTTAACAACTGATGCACATGTCAGTAGCACAAAGTTCCAATGGCCTGCTAAAGCTCAAGTCAGAAGCAAGTTGTTTTTTCTTTAAATTTATGAACATATTCCATTTTAGGTTGCTTAAATTGTAGCCTGTTGAAAATTGTATGAGTTTGTGTCAGTATGCTGTTGCTCAAAGTAATATAGCAAAGTGTTATCTGTCATCCATTATTGTGATCGACTTCTCTTAATTTTAAATCTTCCTTTCTATATTTTCCCAGGACTTGAGCTTTTAGCAATTCTAAAAGGAAGTTCATTGTAGTAATCACCAAATGGATGTGTATTCCTATTTTTAAAAATTTACCAATATTAGCAACCTTATTAGGTAGTTGAAGAATATTTGTAGCCAATAGAATTTTTCGAATCTTGCATTTGTAGGAAATAGTATGCAAACATTTAAATGACTTAGTATTATCTGATTGCATGACATCATAACTGAGTTAATGGTGAATAAACAATGGTTGGTGATGGTGTTATAGGCTGCATTCGACAGATGCCAGGAAGTGAAATCCTTCAGGTCTAAGGTAAGAATCAGGTCATTATGAACGACCTTGGTAAAAGAGATTACAATGGGGCTCTGTTCGAGGATCTGTGCAACAGTGTGGTTTTAGTATGATCCTTGGAGGCAGTAGTGTGGTCCTCAGTATGATCCTTGGAGGCAGCAGTATGGTCTTCAGTATGATTCATGAAGTCAACAGTACATTTGTTAAGTTATCAAGAGAGGTGTACCTTCCATGTTGCACACAATAGTCCTACTTCCCTTTTCCATACATGCGTCATGTATATGTGAGGTAGAAGCCAAAACTCTTTCATAAGAGTTTCTGATACAGCCATATGGGAAGATAATTAGTTTTATGGAAAGAGAACTGTCGAATGCAGTCATAGATTGTTAAGGTCATTGGTTTCAATCGCCAAAAGTGACTTGAATTTGGTATTTTTTTTTTTTTAGCAATTTGTGTCTTGTTTTTCTTGGATAACGAAAATGTTGATAAACGGACTGGATAATAGAATAAACAAATATGAGATTGCATAAATAATTTTGCCTTGAGATATATATATATATATATATATATATATATATATATATATATATATATATATATACATACATATACGATATAGCGTATATACATATATACGTATATACATATATATATATATATATATATATATATATATATATATATATATATATATATATATATATATACATGTATATATATATACACACACGTATATATATATATATATATATATATATATATATACACACTTTTGGCAACCACCAATCATATATTTAGTCTGTAATTCAGGTCATCATTGATGAGTTTAATACAGTGAAATATTTGTTATGCAATGTATTAATTTAAATGGGAAACTAAAGTTAGGTTGGAATCTACTGGTGCAGTTTTATCAGGCTTTCTTTTCTGGACAAATCCTCTTTAATATGTGGAGTATTTGATTTTATGGAGTGGTCTATTTTGTCAAATGCGCCATCCATGGGGGGACGTTCTTCTCAATAAAGTCTCGCTACACACAGCATTCAACAGAATGTTTGGATGTACTATGTATTTTCAATCCTGCTAATGCACTGCTTAGCCTGTAAAGACTTCTACCTATCAAGGTTCATGAGGTTTGCTTATATCTAGAACACATTGACCTTTTCAGGTTTGCAGCATTGCTTGTATCTATGAGCAACACACAAATGTGAAATCTTTCACCTATGGTATGCATGTATGCCTTACTTGAGAGGTTCAGTTACTGAGGTCTTACTGTCATGCTGGAATTCTGGAGGATACATACGAAATATTTCCCCAGCACCAGCACTGGAATACTTACTAAAAGACATCTCTTTATTAAAAAAAAAAAGTTAAAAGTGTTCTGTTTTAGATGATATTCTTTGTGTTAGGAGAATGTCATAGAATTTTGATGTTATCCACAATCCTTTGGTATATTTTCAGCGCAAGTATGCAACATGAAATATTTACTGTACATCAGTTCTCGTGTAAATAACACATATAGGCTATATAAGCTTATATAATATTGGTGAACATGTTACTTTCTAGGTATGTAGAACCTCATGTTGAATTTTTCCAAGTCCAATGAAGCTCAGTATAGTATACCTGGGTGTCCTGGTGTGATTATGACTACACTGTACTGTTTATCTAATGAGAACTTTCACTACCAATTTACGTTCGAGAAACAGTGAGTGTACTGTAAGACTTATCCTGAAATGGTTAATATATTGTTGACTATTCTAATGGTTAAGATATTTAGTCTTGTCCTTAAACCAGAAATGTACTGACCAACCAATTTTCTCCGAGCCTTTAAACCTGGTCATTCCACTATTGATACAATACTTCGTGTCAAGAAGTTATATTTTTTCCAACTGCATTTTGTTGTAATTACAATACTTTATAAAAAAACAAAACAATTTCTGTTACTTAGGTACATAATGTTTAAAAATATTTCTGTTACTTAGGTAAATGGTAGCACTATCTGTCAAATCTTGGAGACTGGAGTTTTGGGATAGCAATTTTTCTAGATTATATACAGTATATATTACTACTAATTATATTGTTTTAGAATAGTTAAAACTGTTGAAAATCTAAAACTTGTCAAAAAATACTGAAAAAGTGCTCTGTTTTGCCATTGGAACTTTTTGTAAACATGAATTTCAGCTGCTGAATATAGTTTTTAAAAACTCACAATGTAGTCTATAAAACGTTTACATAAAGTGGGCAACACTATGGAACAGTCAGAAGAAGCATGTTTATTACACTGAAACAGAGTCACCAGTATAACTTTTACTAAGGTCCCTTATCCACATGTTTTAAAAGCTTCACCTAATTGACTGTTTCATGATAAAAACAATAAAAAGGAAAATCAATCTGTATTTTACTTTTATCCTCTTCACCAATGATCAGTTCGTTAGACGCTTGGGCGATCGATCACGTCTGTTACTTTTTTTTCCTCTTCACCAAATGATTGGCTCGTTAACCGCTTGGGCAATCGGTCACGTCTGTTACGCACTGTTGGCAAGTACTGGGCATGCACCGGCTCCTGAATGTATCTGAACCTGCTCCAGTGTTGGTCAATTCTGGTCTTGAAAGAGATCACACTCGGTGCCATCACAACACTTTCTGGTAGACTGTTCCAAGAGTTCACAACTCACTCCGAAAAAATTTACCCTCACAGTTTTCTGGACTTGCGACTTCTTCAATCTTGAGCTGTGACCCCTTGTGGGGCGAGCGTCCGCCAGCTCCAAGTTAGGACACTCGACTGAATAGTGCTCCTTGAGATGCTTATACACCTCAATTAGGTCACCCCTTGCCCGTGTGTAGTATAAGCTAGGCAAGTTCAGGCGCTCCAATTTCTTGGGGTAGCTGAGGTGCCAAAGTGCAGGCACCAGTCAAGGCCCTCCTTTGAACATTTTCAACCAACTGACAGTCCCTAGCATATCTCGGGGACCAGACAGGGTGACAGTACTCCAGATGTGGAAGCACTTCACTTATTTTATTAGTTAAAGACAACTGCTTCATAATAATTTTCACTAGTGATTAGACACCAGAATGACGTGTGCACCAAGTACTGTTTATGCATAATGGTGATATACACCGAGGAAAAAGAACATACTACCTTACGGTTTAATAGAAGAAAAAAAAATAGGAAACTTCATATAATAGAAAATGGGAACTACTTGCATCATAGAAAACGAGAAATTTTTATGAAAACAGGAGGAGGTTGTGGTATGGCATGGAGGGTGTGGTATGGAATGGAGAGTGTGGAGGGGTTGGCAGGTATAATGGTGGAAATGGACGGTATAGGGGTGGAGGATGTTGAGTTAGAGGGTCAATGGTGTGGAGGGTTGAGGGTGTTGAGGAAGAAGGTGTGGAGGTGGAGGGTTGAGGGTGTTGAAGGTGTGGAGCTGGAGGGTAGAGGTTGTGGAGGTAGAAGGTATGGAAGTGAAGGGTGTGGAAGTTAAAGATTGAGGGTGTGGAAGTTTAGGGTTGAGGGCAAGGAGGTGAAGGGTTGAGGGTTTTGAGGTAGAGGGTGTGTAGCTGAAGGGTAGAGATTGTGGAGGGGGAGGGTGTGGAGGTAAAGAAGGTGTGGAGTATTTCATATCTTTAAAATTATCGGACGCTGGCAGTCATAAAAAGAGGACGACTGGATTCAAGAAATATAGAGGAAAGAACTATTACCTGCCTGTTGGTGTAGGTGCCTTGGAGACCAGTCGCCCAAGCGGCTAACGAGTCGATCCGTGGTGAAGAGGATAAAAGTAAAATTGTACATGTCGCTGATCCGAGAGTCCTTAGCTGTGTGTTAGCTGTTTGTTTACATTTGGGAAGAAGACTGTGTGTTCAACCTGCCAAATGTGTAAAATTAGTTCCCAAGACAAATACCTATTACTGTCATATGTGGGAAAACAAGAGGAATTACAACCACTTGAAATTACATCGTTTTCCAAAAGCTGAAAAAAAGGTCAGTGCTCCACTTAGATAGGTACTCAAAATTACTCTCGGATTGTACTATATACTGTATAATGTTAATTATCAACCACTTTTAACAGGTGCTTGGAATGGCTGCACACACTAAATATGACGCATTTGAAGGACAGAACATTGCAACAGCTCAATACATCTGACGTAGAAAGTAGCAGCCACGAACTCGGAATCAATATATAGTCAATGGATATCTTGTTCACACAGTTGTCCTAGCCCATATATGGTATACCCTAGTATTAAGAGAACTGCTTAGGGGACTGTAATTAAATTTTGAGTATGGGTAAAAGAAAAAGAAAAGTTACAGAGACGTGACCGATCGCCCAAGCTGCTAAAAAGCCGATTAGTGGTGAAGAGGATAAAAGTAAATGGGAAACTTACGGGACTGTATCTCGCTACTGTACGTAACTGATGAACTGATGAAAAGGATGCTTTATAATTTTTCCAATTTTTATGAGGACTCAAACCCCCAAATGGCTCATTTCCACAACAAACATTCAGAATCGACTAAAAACCGAAATTCACCAGAAAAATTATTTATCATGCCAAAATAAGACTAAGAACTCCTTTTACCATGTACCTACTACCCAAACCAAACCTAAACTAACCTGACAAAAACTATGCATTTGCCCAGGAAATGCCAAAGAAGAAAATCGATTCCTTATTAAAAAAAATAAAGTAAATGTGTAGATAAGCGTGACCACCAGAAGTGATACGGTCAAAGCTTGTAAAATAAAGTAACAGTACATGTAGCATGAATACAATCTTGCACTTACATTTTAGCCTTCGTGTCTCCTGTGTATATATTAAAGTTTGTAAGATAAGCTTATGTTTCACTAGTATGCAGTGTGTGAAAAAACACATGTCTTGACAAGGAACGGCGTTAAAGTTAATGAAATGATTTCGTAAAACTTGTAGTGGATTCCTCCCCTACAAGAACCGAACCTTCTCGAATCCCCCAGCTTGCGCCTCCAGCGCCGCCCACGAAGCGGGGGTCAACTATCTACCCACGCCTACCCCGGCCTTATAAGGCCTGACACCGCTGTGACCATCCTCTTTTCTACCCAATGCAAGCAACACCTCCTCCTCCGCGCCAGCCTGGCGGCTCCCGGTCCAGCCGGCCCGGCGACCTAGGCGTCCCTAAAGCCGCGTGCCCTCACTCTGGGACCCTCACCAACCAGCTCTCTCTACTCAACGCTTACTACCATGCTACCTACCCAGCAACAAGCTGCATTGTACATCCAATACAATATGTATACAGTGAGCACATTGTGAGTTTCCTTTCTCCATCCCATCCTGAGGGTGAACCAATATCTCATACCCCCACAAATGGTGACCCCGGAGTGACCACTCACACAGGATGGAGGAGAAACTGATCACTCTCCCAGTCTTCAAGCAACATAGAAGACTGGCTTACCCACGCAGAGGCAGCTCTCATCGGCTCTACAACTACTGTCTCTACACTGCAGGTAAGACACCCTAGAGCAACTCTGCTACTCTTAGCAGACAGCCGCTCCTCTTCCTGCCCCAAGCACCACGTCCTACCGACCCCAACACACCTGTCCTGCCTCAGACGAACGCCCCCGGCCCAGCAGTACCCCCTGCTGCTCCTCCTGACGCGGACCCACACACCCCTCTTTTCTCCCTCAGGTACCCCCTGCTACTGTCCTGCACCCTGCTGCTGTCATGCACCCTGCTGCTGTCATGGACACACTTCCTGACGCAGCCCCTGCTCCTGACCCAGGTCCACACACCCCAGCAGGCACATCTGATGACTCTGTACCTGTCGCGAGGGAAGCACAACATTCATTGCCTCCACAACCCTCCTCCCTCTTTTCTCCCACAGATCCGGTGTATCTAGACAGAGTTGCCCCCCCCCCCTTGCGGCCGGCTCATCCACGCCCTCGCCGTTATGTCCCACATGTGGCATGCACCGCCCGTTCTGCCTCACATGTGGCTCGCAACTCTGCCAACCTCCAGCCTCCCGCCGCGTCCGGAGGGGAAGGGGAGTATTGCAGTGGATTCCTCCCCTACAAGCACCGAACCTTCTCGAATCCCCCAGCCTACGCCTCCAGCGCCGCCCACGGAGCGGGGGTCAACTATCTACCCACGCCTTATAAGACCTGACACCGCTGTGACCATCCTCTTTTTACACAGTGCCACCAGCAACACCTCCTCCTCCTCCTCCTCCGCGCCAGCCCGGCGGCTCCCGCTCCCGACAGCGACCTTGGCGCCCCTCAAGCCGCGTGTCCCTCTGGGCACCCTCACCACCCAGCTCTTTCTACTCAACGCTTATTACCATGCTACCTACCCAGCAACAAGCTGCATTGTACATCCAATACAATATGTATACAGTGAGCACATTGTGAGCTTCCTTTCTCCATCCCATCTTGAGTGTGAACCCAATATCTCATAACCCTGCAAACTTAAAGTGTAGCAGTTATAGGAAGAGGAACGGTCGTCCGAGCACAAGTACAGATTACGAATATATACTGTTGTAAGGGGGGACAAGTTTAGTGTTTCCCTTTTCCTTCTACTCTATTATTCTTATTTATATTCTTAGTTCTTTTTTCTATATTTATTATTAGCTGTTTAAAACAGAATTTTCTATTTATCTTTTCTTGTACATATATATATATTAATAATTTTATTTTCTAAGTCTTTCTGTCTACAAGTATCTATCTTATATTTCTTTGTTTATATTTTCTAAGTTAATATTCTTTTCTATACTTTATTTCTTGTCATATATATTATTGTATTTTCCAGATTTTATATCTGTTCTTTCTTTCAAATTATTATCCTGCCTTAGTTATATTCTACACCAAGGATAAGTCTGGGAAAACCATGTAATTCTTCCACAACACTTATTATACTTACAACGGTAGCCTGCCACCACCCAGACTTTTATTTGAATATAACATATCTCATTGAACTGTTAGGTAGCGTGATAGCGAGCTTATAGACACCTGAGTTACAATCGTTATTTTCTGAGAACCAACAGTTAGAAGGAATAGAGCGGTGATACTCGTAGTTTACCAATTCAATATTTATTAGATTAAGAATGGATAAGGAGTCAATTTAACACACTCAGCTAAGACTAGACCCTAAGGTCTTACTTTACAATTCATAAAATTGATCTTCAATTACTTGTTACATCATTAAACAACTGTTATATTATTTCTTTGACAAATAAGTTGGTTAATTTACACGCTCAGATCTTAGGTCTTACTTTTACAAGTAGCAAAATAGATTTTTAATTCTTGGTTACAACATTAAACAATCATTATATTATTTCGTTGTCAATACAGATGGTTATTTGACACCCTTGACAATATCCCAAATTAACATATTTATAACATCATGTTATTTCGTAACGAAGAACATGGCACTTTTATTAAACTCAGTTGGTAGTACATATGAATGATGTGCTCACAACCCACATAACAAACGTTATTACTGGTAATATCAATATTTATGGGTTCCCTACTCAACATGGGACAACTATATTTCTGCTAGTTATCCCCAATCATATACAACAATAATACTGTGAGGGGTGCACCAGGGTGTCACCACAACAAACGAAGAGCGCTACTAGGTTGGTTGCAGTCTGACGCACGGCGAGGGAGTTCATCCCGCGGGCCCACACACTTTAATCGTGCCGAATTAACAGCATCCTGCAAGACAGCTAATTGATATGCAGCTACAGGTCCCCCGGTGACTGCCGGGTATTCAGCTAACACCCACTCTGTGCCTGAGATATTGATGGAGCAGCATCATAGATGATACAAAAAATAACTCCATCACAAACAATCTTTCGTCTGGCAACGACAGACGATATTTATGTTGCATTAAATCGTTCATGGGGTACATGATAATTTCACTGTTACAACATGGACACTGACATTCACAAAATTCAACTGAGTTAAACTGACTTAATATGGCGGGCGTGAGGAACGTACACATACCTGAGATCGTGATGGAGCAGCGTCAGAGGTGTGATGCTGCTCCTTGTACACGAGTTTATATACTGCTAACTAGCAACTCAGGCCTGTGCGCTAGACATGCCAGAAAGGCTAATCACGCAATGACAGAAATTACATTTAAATCAGCTGTGGAACATTTAACTTTGAAAATCAGTGTCATGGGTCAGGTGAATTTCTTATGGCTAATTTTATAATCTAATCAGAGATTGAGCTTGCCAGGAAAAGTGAAATGGGCATCAATTACACACGCTGTTAACGTCATTCTCACAACATCAGCGGGATTTCAGACAGGGCCTTCTATGGTTATATGTTGAGATCTTGTAGATATACAGTTTGACAGAATCTTTCAGGAGATTAATGACTTTCTTAAATAAACAACTGTCACTAACTATACTATAAACATCAGATTCTCTGATGTTTGGGCATCAAAATGATCTAATTTCAGTAGTACTTAGAAACTCATGGCTATCGCCAAGGACAATATAAGGACATGCCACTCGTTCTTTTTTTTTTTTTATCCTCTTCACCACTGATTGGCTCATTAGCCACTTGGGCGATCGGTCACGTCTCTGTTACGCACTGTTGGCAAGTACTGGGCATGCACCGGCTCCTGAATGTACCTGAACCTGCTCCAGTGTTGGTCAATTCTGGTCTTGAAAAAGCTCACACTCGGTGCCGTCACAACACTTTCTGATAGATTGTTCAAAGAGTTCACAACTCTCACTCCGAAAAAGTTTGCCCTCACAGTTTTCTGGACTTGCGGCTTCTTCAATCTTAAGCTGTGACCCCTTGTGGGGCGAGCGTCCGCCAGCTCCAAGTAAGGACACTCGACTGAGTAGTGCCCCTTGAGATGCTTATACACCTCAATTAGGTCACCCCTTGCCCGTCTGTAGTATAAGCTAGGCAAGTTCAGGCGCTCCAATCTCTGTAGCTGAGGTGCCAAAGTGCAGGCACCAGTCTGGTGGCACTCCTTTGAACATTTTCAACAAACTGACAGTCCCTAGTATATCTCGGGACTGTCAGACTTGACACTTACTTACTTAACAAGTTTTACTAACAATAAAAACATGAAGTTTTCAACATCACTCACAAGGGATCTTGAATGTTTCATCTGTAATCCGACATATCTAAGTTGCCTTAACAGATACAACTACAGTTGCAATTTCAAATTTTGTGTCGTGATAAGATTGAGAAAAAACGGAGGACTCAGGCGTCCTGAAGCGGTGAGAAAACGGACGCCTCAGACGGGGGATTCAATAAAGAAGGCAAAGCTACATGTTTTGTGGGCTATTGAGCATAATACGAATTGTCTGATTTTACGTTAACTAACATATACGACCGTGGTCATTATTACACTGTAACTCTTCTGCTGGCAAAAATTGTAATGAGACCCCGTAGATCAATCTGTAAAATCGGCCAAGAAGCGGGAATGAGTCACATGCCAGTTCACCGTATTATGTAAAGAAACAAATTCCATCCTAATAATGTCACCTGCGCAAACGAACTTCAAGGGAAAATGTATCGGTCGACGTGGATCAGTGGAATCCCCCCTCCCCCAGATTACCAGACCTGACTCCTTTAGACTTGCACGCCATGGAGTACAATTTGCACATCTAATAAAATAAACATATGATTCCGGACTTTTGTACACCCTGTATTAAAACATTTAAGATAAACTGATTATAAATGTAAACTAAATGAAAGCTTGCCCTCACATTCCTGCCTTTGCTTCATATGAAAGTTATGAAGAAACGTAAGTTAACAAGAACGTGGGAGTGTGCATCCTGTGTTTTTCCCAGAAAGGATGTTACTCAGGCGAGGCAAGCCAAGCCTTCATGACAGCCAGTATTTTATCTGGTTCGTCGCTGTATAAACCTGCCATGGTCAGTCCAGTGTTTGTTCTATACTTAAGGGCATTTAAATTGTTTTAAGGCTTATTGGAGTGGTTACCGATAAACAATATGACATTCTTGAGATAGTGTGGGCTACTATGTAATCCCATGTGCATGGGATGTTAAAAGGGATCTGAAAGTTTAGATATGTTCTTCGATGTGTATGGAAAGATGCCGAGGTGAATTTTTTTTCAATGCTCGTTTTGAGCACGTTGTGGAGCCAACAATGGCCGCACCCAATTTTAGCTTGAACTAGGTACTTCTTCTCAATAAGCTTATAAATGTGCAAACATAACTTGTAAATTAAGTAAAACTGGGTTGATCTCTCTGAATATTGTTTAAAACAGAGCTGATGCATGAAAGAAATGTAGCTATGTGAATTTACATATCTTCTTTGATGAATATTTTTCATTCCATCAGATCTTTAACTAGCGCAATACACATTTTTTTTTACTTTTATCCTCTTCGCCACTGATCAACTCGTTAGCAGCTTGGGCGGTCGGTCACATCTCTGTTACACACTATTGTCAAATACTGGGCATGCACTGCTTCCTGAATGTATCTGAACCTGCTCCAGTGCTGGTCAAGTCTGGTCTTGAAACCGCTCACACTTGGTGCCGTCACAACACTCTCTGGCAGATTGTTCCAAGAGTTCACAACTTTCACTCAGAAAAAGTTCGCTCTCACAGTTTTCTGGACTTGTGGTTTCTTCAACTTTGAGCTGTGACCCTTGTGGGGCGGGCGTCCTCCAGCTCCAGGTATGGACACTCGACTGAGTAATGCCCTTTGAAATGTTTAAACACCTCAATTGGGCCGCCCCTTACCCGTCTGTAGTATAAGCTAGGCAGTTGCAGGCGCTCTAGTCTCTCGGATAGCTGAGGTGCCGAAATGCAGGCACCAGTCTGGTGGCCTTCCTTTGGACATTTTCAATCAACTGACAGTCCCTAGCATATCTCGGGGACCAGACGGGGTGACAGTACTCCAGGCAGAGAAGTACTTCACTCTTGAAGATCGTTACGAGGGACGTCTAGATATCTGAACAATCTTCTTATAAGACCGAATAATTTAGTTGCTTGATTCACCTTCTCACAATGGCCCGAGAACTTTATTTCATTGTCAACATACACACCTAGGTCTTTTCCCATTCATTCTCTAGTAATGCAGTTTCTTCGTCTCGTTGGGACGTCCCAGGTGCATCCTCTTACACTTCGTGACATTTAATCTTAGCAGCTATATCTTCGACCATTCTTGAAGCTCACAGAGATCCTCCTGCAGCTCTTCACAGTCTGCTTGGTTCTTAATTTCCTCATATAACTTGGCATCGTCCGCAAACATTTGTATGAAGGAATGTATAGCTTCTAGCATGTCATTTATGAAAAAAAAAACAAGCAACGGGCCCAATACACTTCCGTGTGGTACCCTCGCTTGTCATGGGTACACATGACGATTTCGTACCATGCATACATATTAGCTACATTGCCACATTACGGATATAAGTTTCAACTAAGTCAATCTTCATAAATGTCTGTATCAAGCTCTTCTTGCTAGTCTGCTGGTGGATCAAGAGGGAAGTACCAACAGAAAGGAGCGTTTCTTTTTGGCTTTGAAAAGTTCCATATTTTCCAGAATTTTTAAGCCCATGTTATATGTCCTTACCTCGTGCAAGGCATCACCCATACTATCTTTTTATCTTTTTGGCAGAATACACACTTCTCTCTGTCGTAAGAGGAAACAGTAGACCTTCTCTCTCTCCAAACGAGGATGTTGAGGCTCTCTCTGAATTACTTGGCCTGCAGCTCTTGAAACTGCCGCAGGAGCATCTTCCTGGCCAACTGGTTTCTCATATCGGACTTTTGACCTTTCTAGCGCCTTTGGATGAACAAGAGTTTTGTAACATTTTGTATGAAACATTGCGTTGTTCTTTAAATCTGTATCAGCAGATTCATCCTGAAGCCTGTCAGGCAAGGTCCGAGCAATCACTGTCTGCATCCAGTACTTGCATCTGTGTCTACAGAAACAAAATAAAATTCTCATATGAAGATAGAAGCGGATTGTCTGTGGGTTTGTCAAAACTGTTCTATTGGCACATAATGCACAGTTTGTAACTGTAAATACTTTTCGTTTTTTGACTGGGTTAAGAATCTCCATCATGGTCTAACACACACACTGAATCTACAAAAGATGTAAAATGACATATAAGCACTGACATTGGCCTTAATTAATGTGCAAAAACTTCTTCATTGATCAGAAGAATATGATTGAAAGACGCGGAGAGTAGTATCATATAAGTGGCGCTACTTGACCCTAAACAGCCCAAACACGACTTAAAATGTACAAGCTTGCTTAATTTACATATTTTGTCAAGGGCAAAAGTGTAACTAACTAAATTCAGGAGTTTATTGCCTCCTTTTAGGTGGCAATATCCATTACATTTCTGTAAAGGACATCTTACCGACTTAAATTGGGTGACGTCATAACCATAAAAAAATGCCACCCCTACATTTTTTACTTTTACACCATATAAGTAATTTTTAACTTCAAAGCACTTTAAAAAAAAGTTCACGCGGGACCATACCTCAACATAGTGACCTACACTAAGAGGTTGAATACCATATACCGTACGTAACAAACACAGACTGTGCGGTGTACAGTATATTACTGTCTAAATTTGTGTACGTTGTCTTGTAGCACTGAAACAAAAAAAACTTGGAAACACGATGTCAGGGGAGGAGGCTCGGTAGGTACTTGTACTTGGCAACTGTACTGGTGTCGCAATGCAGGATTTCCCATTAATGTGAATAATGTACTCAGGACGTCACCAAGAAATAGTACCCATCCCCTGACATTTTCTATCGTGAACAAGATTTCACTATGTAAAAAAAAAGTAACATAGCACACAGGAGACATCATATTGACTGGTTCATGATTTTAGTTGGACATACAGTTTGTGCATGAGAGCGGGGAAGAGGGAGAGGTCAAATGTCATTTCACACAGCTATCGCTACACTGGAAGCACTTCAAGAATATAATTTTTGATAAAGAGAAGTGTTTTGTGTTTATTTGTAGGATTATCACGCAAACAAACAATTTAGTCTTATGTGGATTTCTTCTGTCTGATTAATATGCCAAATATGTATACGAGGCCCATTAATCTTACACACAGGGAATAACTGCAGGGATATCTATCTGGCTTCCAAATTAGGCATGATACGTTAACAATTATACTTGATACCAAAGAATAATTTTAGCTCACCAGGATGTCTCAGTTCTTTTTAACTGAACTTCACTGTGTTCCCTTTTCTGTCACTTTTGAACCTCTGATGTAAAAATTATTCCGGAATGTGACAGAACTTTACATTAATTGTGGAAAAATACACATGGGTTACAGGTCTCCCTCTAAACCCGGTGCTGATGTGAGCCGCTGTTCTGTTCAGGACAGTGTTACCAGATATTTTGTCTCAAACACGAACCGCAGGTGTATACTTATTCTTGTGGCCTACTGTACATGCAGATTTGTTATTTAAACAATAGATATACAAATACACAGTATAGCTCGTACCGTCCTGTTGTCTCACACTACATGGTACCGTCCACGACGACAGGATGTGAATAGATAATTATGTACAGTATCAACAACTCAGAGAATTATCTGTAGAGGACAGTAATGTTAACCCCTTGGAGGGCACTGTAGCCATTAGGTACTTTATTCTGGCCAACGCCAGACGATCCAACTTGGTAAAAATTCTTATATACATACATACTCGTATATACATATAGTGTACAAACGTTTACCGAGATAACACACAATTAAGAAGAAAAACAAAACATCCAATGATATCGAGCCAGTCTTCCACCCCAACTGTCAATAATTAAGGTAAAGTCTAAACTCTAAAGGAACAAGACAGCAATGGCTAATTGCATGCACAGGGGCCAGAGTAGCGTAAAATAATGTGACTGATTAAAGTTATATAAGGGCTGAGTGGATACAAATTCTCTCCTAAGGGTAGCTTGTTCGCACACTGGGAACCTCCAGTCCACAGAGCTGTTAATGTATCGCTAATTTTAAACTTATTGAAGTGACGGCAGTCAAATTCAGTGTCGGCCACACTGCCTCCTTTGTATCCTGCTGTATCCACACTGTTCCTAAAGGGGTTTCGGAACTAAAGAATTCACTTACACTGTTTTACAGACTGTTGAAGTCGTAACCCTTGGACTTGCAGTAAGTAACAAAGAAGAGACAAAAGTTAGATGCGATATAAGTGGGTTTCCAGAATACCTTGAATATTAAACTCGAGCAGAAGCTTCTAAGAAAAGTAAGTTGAGGCGTCTGCATGTTGGGAAAGTTTTCCGGGAAGCCAACAAAGTGAAACAAAGGGTCTGGGTGGACGCAAGGCAGGATAGGTTGAGGCTATGATGTGTTTTTACATTCTACCAACAACTATACTCTATAATCGCACATTGAAATATAAATCATACATTAGAGTGATTAGACCTTAAAATAAAAAGGACACGCTCTTTGGAGTTAATGAGGTAGAGTTGATGTTATAGTACATAACTGCGCTTCAACATCTAGTCTTGCAAAATAATTCCATATTCTCGACTAGGAAATACATTCTTCTCGATGTTATTGAAAGTTACTGTGGCAGAATGAAGATGTAGAACAGCGCATACGGAAAATTACTCAAACACGAACTGACGGAATTCTTTTGTTTCGTTCCAGCACACGATAATTTACCCATCTTCCCATTTATTTATTTATTTATTTATTTATTTATTCTTTTTTTTACGGGGATTAGCCCATCCGGGCACAGGTCACCGACCCACATCGGGGCCTGGGGGGCGAAAATGTAATTATAACAATACTAATTAGTTCATAGTAAATAAAATTTATAATAAACATACAAAATTAAAAATAAAATAAAATAAAATAATAATAATAACAACACTGATAATAATAAAAATAAAGAACCATAAAGAAATACAAAAATGAAAAAAAAAAGATCAATTGTGAGAAACGATATATGTTTGTTGTGTTGTCAAAGTAAGAGAAACAATTGAGACCCTGCAATTGTGTGTAAATGAGGCACAAAGTTAGATCAGCAACCTGGGACTTAACGTTTATTTGTACCATTATTACTGACGGTTACATGACAACGCTGGTAGTTGCTTAACCTATTGTTTATATTTTGCGTATATATTTTGTATATAGTTATTGATAAATGCTTCTAATCGACGTTATTTTCATCCACAGGTAGCGGCGAGAGGCGGTGGCTGGCTGGTGGTGGTAGTAGTTGTGGTAGTGGGGTCACTGGCGGTGATGGCAACAGATGAGCCTTGTACGCAGATGCGCCGTAGCTGTCGCCTTGTTACGGAGAGGAAACTCATCGAAGGCCAAAACATGACCTCCCTTAATATCTCCTGTTACTGCAACTGGGACCAGGTTGGTCCACAAGAATGTTCACAGTGAAAGGCTTCATCCAGTCACTCTCCATCCAAGTCTATTTTTGTTCCTGTTCTTAAGTTACGGATTTTGACTATGCATTTTAATTTTTAACTACGACTTGTGTTGTTTTGCATAGGTGGACGAATCTGGTTAAACCCTCGAGTAAAATGCTATCTTAATGGAACAGGTCATTGTACTCATGGGGTTAATTCATCGTACTCAAGTGTGAAACTATCGTACTTAAGGGTTAAATCATCGGACTCAAGAGGTTAAGTTCTCGTAATCAAGGGGTTAAGTAAAAAAAATGCATTAGTCACCATTATCACTTTATCATCCCATTTTAACCATATCAGGTTATTCCAGTATCCGTATTACATCATGCATCACGCAATCACTACATTACCACCATCGTATCACCCTCATTGTACGAGCACCAAATTTACCATCAATATCACCAGGACGTGGCAGAGGTCTTGGAGGAAGTGGCTAAGCTCAAGTGTTCCTGGTTACCTACCGCCCCTCATATGAAAGTCGACTACTCCGCCATACACCTCTCAGGCTGCAGCGTCATTAGTAAGGTCAGTCTTGTAATTGGCTGAGGCTGGGATAAGTTGAGGCTGGGATAGATTGAGACTGGGATAGGTTAAGGGTAGGATTGGTTGAGGCTGGGATAAGTTGAGGCTGGGATAGGTTGAGACTGGGATAGACTGAGGCTGGGATAGACTGAGGCTGGGATAGACTGAGGATGGGATATGTTAAGATTAGGCTAGACTAACTGGGATAGACTAAGACTGGTTGGGATAGGTGAAAGGGGAGGACTGATCAAGATTGAAATTGTCTACAGAGATAAAGTGAAGCTGAGAGATACTACGAGACAGAAATATAACGGGGCATAATAATAACAATGAACTGATGATATAATTAATGATGGTTAGCGTAATGACAATAATAATAACGGTAATTATGATATTTTGACATTATTAATTTATGTATTAGTGATGTTTGTTTTTCACTATATTTCATAACACAAAAGTTAATAATAAAAACACTATAATGGTAATTATCAACATTGTCATTAGCTTCCCTCCCCCTCCCATGTAATATTGCCATCACTCCTGTAATTCCAATCATAATGTGGTAAAAAGGTGTTGCCGTCGTCTGTGTGGGAGTTAAGTCGTCGTACCCACCATATGGCCTTGTACGTTGAGAATTCTAAGCACCTGCGCCTTGGCACTTACCTCACCCCTCACAACGATCCCCTCTCCTCCATCACCGCCACCTTCATAAACAGGTCAGTGAAGTTTTTTTTTTACTAATCGATTCATCAATTTTCCTAACTAGCTACTGACTAACGCTTATAGCTTGTGCGAAAACTGGCTATCCCTTGTGAAAATTTACTTGCCACAGGTGAAAATCTACTAGCCATGGGTGAACAAGATTTCTATTCACGGGTGTACAGATTTTTTGATTGGTGTACACCTGAAATTTTGTTCAGGGCAGATCAATGACACCAAAGTGACATTGTTGTTCATCAATTAATATATGCTAAGGTAAGACATAGGTATGTGAGACCAATTGAAATTAAAAAACAGTTTACGCATAAGAGCTTTACACATGAATGGGAAGTGTTTTGCAAAATTTAGTTTGGCCAATGTATGAGTTGAATCGGCCATTATAGCATGTGGAGTGGTCCCAGGTGTCATTTCTGAGAGTGACTTTGTTGGCTATCCTTGGTCAAATTGCCTTACAGCTTACCATTGTAGTATTTGTATACCTGCATTATCTAGGTACATTGGAAATTATACCTACACGGTCTTATGTGCACTGTATACCTGCGTTGTCCATACACATTACACAAGTCAAACTACTTGTAAACTTGTATGACGATTTTGCTGAATAATTATAATAATAATAATAATAATAATAATAATAATAATAATAATAATAATAATAATAGTGATGGCAATAACAATAATAATTATCACTATTATTAAAAAGTAAAAAAGTAAAAAAAAAAAAAAAGATCAACACGACAGATTGGGAGTAACGTGACTTTATATGCTTCCTGTGCACACTCAAAACTTCTGGAATTATTTTACGAAACGTAATATTGTATTCCATAACGTTCCTGGCGACGGGTGAGAGCAGTAAGGTGAGCGGAATACCCAAAGGTGTGCTGGGAGGCAGTAAGCAAGTGAAGGTGGTGATGAAGGGGTGTGAGTTGCAAGTACTGGAGTCCCGGGCTTTCTCCGGTTACTCCACCACTGCCGACATCAGAGTCAGCTTGATCAACACAGAAATCCTGACCCTGAAGAAGGTAAGCGGAAAGTCTCCTGTTGCCTACTGCCTCTGAATACCAATGCACTAGGCTGTTAGTTTGGTTTGTCTCAAAGTACATTTTGAGACCCAAGTTGTTGCTTTTAGTGCTTGTTGTTCCGAGGTTAATCTCTTCTGTTAACAGTGTCATTTTATACATGTCTAACATGAGAGTTCTATCTCTCGTAATTTTTAAATGTTGATGTAATAGTGTATGGCTAACCTTGTTACACGCTTAAAGGCCTTAGTTGTTCAAGCGCAGTACTGTAATAACATTATAACCTTTTTCCTTAACATTTTCTTAGCTTTCAAGTTAAAATAGAAAATATATGAACTTGTTATTACCTCAAAAAGTTGCGACCCTGCCTGGGAGGCTAATTGGGCGCTTGGAAGTCCTATATGGGGTAATTCTCAAATACGTAAAGTAAATTGCATGGTGTATTCCTGGGGCAATTCTGAGGCACAATGTCGATATGACAATATGTCGGATTTCGCACAGCTTCCTAGCTACAGCACTTGATAAATGTTGAGGCTATGGTAGTGAGGTTGGAGTGAAAACAGATGTAACTTTTTCTGTAATTTTATGCACATACACTACACAATGTGGTACAGAGGCAGAGAGAAGGAACTTTGAATATTTACTGTAATAACGCAATTGCATCACTTTGTGCAGTTACTGTATGTGCATAAAATTACACAAAAGTCTACAGCTGTTTCACTCCAACCTCACTATTATGACCTCATTTTTCAAGCTAGGAAAGTATGCGGATTCAGACATTTTGTCATATCAACATTATGCTTAAGAATTGTCCCAGGAATAAACGCAGCAATTTACTGTACACGTTTGAGAATCACCCTGCACAATGCCAAGTCCCCACCCTATAAGACCCGCTTTAGATTTGCCTGATGGCCATCAAGTAAACACGGATAACCCAAGCAAACGAGAAATACACAAATCTCTTATTATTTTCAGACATGTCCACATGTGCATGGCAATCATCATATTGTCAAATAACTAAACAGCGTTATATTTTGTGGGAAATTAGAGATTGAGTAAGATATAAAGATTACTACTGCATATACAATTTCAGGTGGCGTTCGACCTGCCTGCCTCAGCGGTAGTGAGTATGGAAGGTGGCTCTGTGCGTGCGTGGGAGGGATTTGGTTACCAAGGCGGATCTCAACTCAGCCTAGACAAAGTGAAGATTGGTCGCCTCCTCTCCGGTGCCATCAACATCCTCGGCCTCCAGTCTTTCTCCATGACGAATTGTATCATCGCCGATCTCCTTGAGGGAGCCCTGAAAAACAAAGCACGCTCTCAGGACCAGTAAGTGCCGAGTTGCCATAAACTTAGATTACTCACCAAAGGTCATGTAGCATAAACTTATGCTCTCTGGATCAAGGAAGAGCAACTGTAATGACATCAAGAGGAAAGTCAACAACCTTCATTAAAAGAAGTGGGATTTTCATTACATTAAGATTATGCATCTCAATACATAGAATGATGGGAAATTTTTAAAATTCTATTCTCTTACTAAAATGACCCTTAAGTAGATACTAAACAATGTATAAGGTGTCCAGGGCAGTGCCGGATTTAGACCTTTTAGACCTGTGGAGGCCCATGGGCAGCCTCTTTGTGGAGGCTCCTCTCATTATAACTACCCAAGAGGGTGGGGTGGCGAGTGAAGCGAACCTAAACATCTGGGAGTTCCGGGGGGCGCTGTAAGCCCCCGGGAAAATTTTGAAATTTGAACACTTCTTTGGAGAATTTTGAAGCCATATGCAGTTATATTAAAAATATTAAAAATATACGGTTCATAGGAAAACCAGGTATTCATGAATTTCAAGGAGTAGCTAGCCTAATTTCTATCACGCTTCTTGCTGAACATAGTTTTACGTGATGGAATAGATAAACATGAATTTTAAAGAATGAAAATAAAAATAATCCAAATGGATAAACAAATAAATAAAATATTGTAATATGTGGAGGCCCCCATATCGTGGAGACCCTCTGGGCAGCTGCCCACTTTGCCCACTCCTGAATCCGGCCCTGGTCCAGGGAATTTGGTCCGTAACCAAGTGAGGAAAGAGAATAGTAACACTAGCTATAAATCCCTTCCTGCAATCTAAGGCTGTCCCATGTGCGAGCGTCCTGCGGCATCGAGTAACCACACGAGTGAACGCACTACCTTGATGTAGAGGACAAACATGTGTTTTCTTTGATGTGTGTTACGTCGACGCGTGAAGCGTTCACGAGCGACCAGGAAGCGGTAACTACTGTAGACGCGCGACCTGGAAGGGTTTGATCGTCGCTTTCTCAGTAGCGCGAGTTCTGGCATTCTACACCAAAACTAAAGAAGGTTATGCATTCATTTTCCACTGTTAACAGTTTGATCTTGCCAAGAAATAGATCCTTGTGGATTATTGACGTAGCTTTATTCAAAATTTAACATTTAGTTGTACAAATTCCAAATGCACACTGCAATACGCCTGGCATGTGACAATCTGTAATAAAAAATATTTTTTCTTTGTTCCGAGCATTCCTAGGATAGGGTTCCAACAAATATACAGAGTGGGGAGGCCTCGTCCCCAATCAGAATACATTTTGGTGTACTCTTGAAACTTCTTTGGATCTTAGAGAGGTTCCTTGTAGAGATGGTTAAATTCGCCTACTTCCATCCTCGTTTGATAAATGGGATGTTTTTTCCTTGGTACCTCTACAGGTAACACATTGAAAAGCATTATTTTCTAAAAGCACCAGCAAACGTCTGCGCTGCGTAGACAGCATGTTCATGCTGATACGCGGGACACAGGTCGCTTTGAAAAATAGGTCGCGCGTGTACGCTCTGGTCGCTTGCACATGGGACATAACAATATTGTGGCAAAAGAAAAGGACTCTCCAAGGTGAGAGCAATAACTTTAACTTGTGTGGGGATCGAACCCACGACATCCGAGTTATTAGTATGGCGCTCTAACCAACTGAACTAACAGGCCAAGCAAACCATAGATGCCAAAGGCTTTTATTTTATTTTCATAATCTTTATTAATTTATATAAAAATGGATATTTAGTAACCATACTGTACTGTCGTCAGCACTTCTAGATCTGTAGTTGACTGACTACCAACTGGAGTAGCCCCGGCTCAAACTCCATACCCAAAGGTGTAAAATGTTTACATTAGATTGTTTGTTATGTTACTGGTTCTGATATATGAATATTGGGTAATTATTTGGATCTTGACTGTTGCTAATTTGGCGGACAATTTTGGTCTCATTTTGCTCAACATTTGATGTTTAATGAAACGGAGATACTGCAGCCTTTTTCTGTGGAAATACTAAAAGTTATTTAACTACTTACCAACTTACTCCCCCTTTAGCCACTGCCAACTAGCATCTAAATTATTTTTCTTCCCAAGGTTCTTGTTTCTCTTGGACACGTATTGTACCCAATACTCATCTCTTGGATACTTGTTGTACCCAATACCCATCTCTTGGCCACGTGTTGTACACAGTACCAATCTCTTGTCTAACTTCTGTTGTAACTTTTTGTACTGCATAATTTCCCAACTGAATCATATCTTGTGTTTAATATAAAACACTCATTCAAAAGAATTAAACCAATCTGGCCTAAATGGGTATCGAACCCACGATATCGGCACTATTAGGACAACGCTCTAACCAACTGAGATAACATTCCATAAAAATATGAAATGTGTTTTCTTTAATTGTTGTTAATTAATATACAAAATTATTATACTTTGGTTACAAATGTCACTCTCTCACTGACAGAGACTAATTCCCTTACTCATGGAAAACAAAAGACCTCTGTAATGATACAGTGAATGGCAAACTTGTGTTTCTCACCACTCAAGGGTGGTGAGTCTCTGAAAAGTGGACACACACCAACCATTGCAAGTTTACTCCGGTTTCCTCTGATACTAACACTGGACTTTAAAGTTCATAAGAAAAGAAAAAAAATCAATTGACAAAATTAAAGAAAGCTATAAAACTTTTTTCCCGGTTCAAAACCTGTGTGAACTTGTCAGCTGGCAATAACACTTCGGGCACCTGAATAGTATAATTCTTATGCAGTAAACGTTAGCAATAACTATTATCTCAAACTTTCATGGTTACAACGACCTGCTGTTTATTATTGTTTGAATGCCTGTACTGTGTGTACTTATATACAGTAAATCATTTACGAGAGAAACGTCATAGAAAAAAGTGTCTAGGAATTGTCTAAACTACTGATTGCAACTATAAAATTCTCAAAATTCTTTGAGCGACAACAAGCATGTGATGGCTTTGTTTAGCATATCCTTGAACAATTTACCGGTATTTCTATACCCGCCCTCTCTATAAACATTGTATATCTGCATTATCTATATACATATGCTAAACCAATAAATTGACATGTACAGACTTTACTTAAGCAACTATCTGGCTACTAACACGATCGATAAAAAACATTTGTTGTCTTGCATTCCCACATTTGATGTACTTGCTTCGGCAGTACATATACTAAAATTGGAACGATACAGAGAAGATTAGCATGGCCCCTGCGCAAGGATGACACGCAAAATCGTGAAGCGTTCCACATTTTTACCGCAATTATGTAGTCCTTCAAGGTACTAAAGCAAAACTTACCTGAACACTTAATGTTAATAGTTACGAGTAATTACACTGTACTATACGTGGATATTCCGGGTGAGGACGTCGGGTCGAGGCATCAGGTTAAGCACAGACTTCATAAATATTTTTGTTGAGTGACAAGCTTGTCTGCTGAAGCCTACAAATCGGACAACCTCGACACAATCCCTTAATTTAAAAACGATAACTAGACAGATATATATAACTATGTAAATAAATGCATTCCTTTCAGACATGGTAAAACATGGCAGACCTAATTCGAACATTCGAAATCTTGAAAGGAATGGAAAATATAAACCTGGTGTGCTGTGCTGAAAATGTTCTGGACATGCCCAGTTTGAGCAAAACATAATTGAAAACTTGAAATGTGCTGAAATTACCCATCAGAATAAAATATTTGGTTACGTTTAGTTGGTTTTGATTGTACTGTGCATGCTTTGAACATTTTCAGCACGGACACAATCACCCTTTTTTTTTTAGAGAGAGAAAGGAGGGGTGAAAGAAGATTAGGAGGGGGGGAGGAAGTTATAGTTCGGAAATTGAAGAAATTGAGGAGAAGGTAAGAGAGGGCGGGCTGACCGCCTAGCTAAGCTAATGGTGTGTTTGGGTTGTGTCATGTGTTAGTTATTGTCTGTCGGTACAGGCACTAGACATCCTACCCTATCCCATATATTGGTGTTTTGAGGGCCTTATTTCATATTCCGCCGACCCTACTAGCGGATGCTGGTCTAGGGAGGTTGTCTATTGCCTGGCCGTATAGATCGGGGGTGGTAGTGGACCTTTTGAGATTTGGTAACCTTTTGGGAATCATGTATGGTTGTTGTCGTTATTTGGTGGGAGTCTTTGAAGGAGTTCTTGCTCTGATCGTTCCGTCTTTTGCCAGACTCTGCTGGCACAATCACTCCACGCACCACCATCATGGGGGGGACATAACTACAAGCTAGCCAAGTTATCACGCAGAAGGAACATAAAAAAATGCGGGATACCACCTCAAACTGTAAAATCAAGAACAGCACTTAGCTTCAAAATACCCTTTCAAAATTATCAAAACAATGGAGGGATTCTACACAGGCCACTGGCCTCCTTCCCTCGGCATGGCTATCTCTAGGTGGTCATATGGTAAATTCATGCATTCATTTAGATTTCTACATTTTACTATACAAATGGACAAATTCCGTAAAATCATCAAAGAAATTAATTTTCTATCGTGTAGGTGATTTGTAATAAACATTTGGTGGCTTACATTCCCTTACATGATGTACTTGCTTCGGCAGTACATATACTAAAATTGGAACGATACAGAGAAGATTAGCATGGCCCCTGCGCAAGGATGACACGCAAAATCGTGAAGCGTTCCACATTTTTACCGCAATTATGTAGTCCTTCAAGGTACTAAAGCAAAACTTACCTGAACACTTGATGTTAATAGTTACGAGTAATTACACTATACTATACGTGGATATTCCGGGTGAGGACGTCGGGTCGAGGCATCAGTTTTAGCACATAGGCTTCATAAATATTTTTAAGTAACAAGTTTGTCTGCTACACGCAAAATCGTGAAGCGCTCCACGTTTTTTACCGTAATTATGAAGTCCTTCATGATTCTAAAGCGAAACTTAGCTGAAAATGTAATAATAGTTAGAAGTAATAGAAGTCGTGGAAGTGCCAGACGGGGTCGT